AGTCATGCACTTGTTACTAGTAGCTGCTTGCTACCTACAAGTCATGCGCTTGTTACTAGTAGCTTCTTGCGAACTACAAGTCATGCACTTGTTACTAGTAGCTGCTTGCTACCTACAAGTCACAAGGTAGCAAGCAGCTACTAGTAAGAAGCTACTAGTAACAAGTCAAGTGCACATTGCTAGTAGTCCATTTTGGTCCGTTTCGGGCATGGTCAAGTCATATCCCTCGTCGTTCGCATCAAGTCAGTTCGTACCGACTCAGACGTGGCTGAGGACATCCCAGGACTTTGGCCCGCCTTTTGGCTCTTGGGAAATCTCGGGTTTGGGATCCGAGACCGAAAAGAACGAAACAGAACGAGACGTGACAAAGGAGAAGGCGCCCAAATGTTTGCGCATGTTGTTTGGAGTCGTTCGTCCAAATCCGGTCCGGTGTGCCTTCAGAAACTATAAATTGTGTCTACATGATGTCATTTCCTCCATTCTCCACATCTGACTGGGGGCTCGAGCAGACACTTCTCCTAGGCGAGCGACGGTGGAGGCATCCAACAACAACGTTTGTGTCTCAGGGTTGGGTGCAACAGCACATCCGACACCGCAGACAGACTGCAGACCAATTCCGGAGACCGATAGTGGCAACGAGGTATGGCCATTCACCTACTCGCAGTGTCCGTCCGAAAATCTGGAAAAGGCTGGCGTGCAATGAAGGCATTCCAAGAATGTCTTGGTTTGTTAAGGCCGTTCCCGTACCAATCAAGATTTGTTCTTGGAAGGCCAATCAAGATCCTCCGAAGCAGCAGAGGATCAATGAATGCGCTGCCCTGAGCACAATGGCGGCTTCTTGTTACCTGGGAGAAAAATATCACTTCCAACCTAGTGTAGTGGCGGCCTCCAACCTAATAGTTTCTTGTTCCCAGTAGAAAGGCCAGGAGCAACAAGTAGCATCCGTGCTCCTAGTAGCGATGCCCTTTGCTCCTAGTAGCGTCCCTTGTTCCAGGGCAAATGAAAGCGAATTCTTCATGTCTTCTTGTTCCTAATAGCTTCTTGCTCCTAGTGGTAAGGCCAGGAGCCCCTAGTAGCGTCCTTGCTCCTAGTAGCGATGCCCTTGTTCCTAGTAGCTTCTTCCTGTTCGTGCATATTTGGTCCACTTTCGGTGTAAGGTTTAGGTGACAATTGGACGCAGCGTTTCGGGCTGCACCCACATCAAGGCGTGTCGTTGCGAAGGGCGTGTCATTACGTGAGGACATGAAGACCAAGTGGTTTCGCAGGCCGAGGGGCTTTGGAGATAGATATTCTGGAGGTGCTGCCAGGCAACCATGCTCCGAACTACAAAAAGGAGAAGGCACCGAAGAAAACGACGGCAGAACTTTATTTACTTCGAAGAATCGAGTCTGAGAGGTTAACACCATCGCTATTAGGTTGGAGGCCATCGCTACGAGTAGCAATAAAGCTTTCCCAAGAAAGCTTTATTGTTACAGGTGAAACGATTCCCAACGCTTCTAGTAACTAAAATCATTTTCTGAGAGGTTGACACGGGCATTTGCAAGCCCCAGACAGAAATCCTCTATAGCAAGTTGGACATTCCTCGGCCGCATTTGCTGGAAACTCAAGTTCTTCGAAGTCGTTTCTGAGTTCGGCCGAAATTCGGCACGGACAGGAACGGATTGGCATGAACCTCTCGTAAGTCCTCGTAGATTCATTGCACCGAGGCTGAATACCTTGCAAGCGGCCCCTGGCATTCCATTTTTGGCCGATCAGCGGCCACCTTCTCCTCCACGTCTCAATACCACTTGCGCCTCACACCCAGGACCCTACTAGGGACGCTCTTGGCCTTACTACTAGGAGCAAGAAGCTACTAGGAACAAAGGGCATCGCTACGAACGGAGCGATCGGACGCTACGTTCGGGGCATCCCACCGACGCAAAAAACGATGCGACGCCCGAGGTCCCAGAATGGGGCACTCAATGGTATGATGGCTTACGACCAGAAGTTCCTGGAGCCGCTTTCCGTAAAGAAAGGGAGGTGGTGCTTTTCGTAAAGAAAGAACGCTTTTTTTGGAAAACGATGCCATGGAAAATCGCATGCGATGGCCAGGGCCAAATTCACACATCAAGTGTTTCACTCTGACCAACCGGGCCGTGAAGGCATGCAATGAGATGGGTTTGCACCATGTTTGGCCATTGAAGGTCTATGGAAGCAGTTCAACCATCAATTATCACAACTACGGTCCCCCTGCCATGTTTGAAAGCGTAGGGGCCTTGCCTGGTTTGGGGCAGTGTGCACGTCGTGGGTTGCGTGCCAGGCAAGTACATTGTGAACATCAACCCTTGGACAGATGCCGGGAACCCACTTATGAAGCGGTCGAACGTGGCCAGCTACGACCAAACTGTGGCTCCAACCTGATAGCGATGGCCTCCACCCTAGTAGCGATGGCCAACTTACTAGCTATCCAAACTCAAGTTTCTCCATGTTTCTCCTTGCATATCACTAGCCAGCACATCATTTTGCTCACTAGCCACACCTGGCACGCCATGCGCGTCTATACGCGCTTACGTATCCCGTGTCCATCGATGTCCGATGTCCAGGTGGAGATCCAAGTGGATTCCATCGGTGCCTTGACGGGCCTTGATGAGGATGCCTTCAGTCAGCACCACGCCCTCCGGCAGAAACGTCTCCAAACCGTGTTGACGAACGACAAAGGCCAACTGGTGGAGTTGTCTCGACCGTGTTGTTCGACTTCTCATTCCGAATGCGACGCCCATTCGAGATGTTGTCTTGATCGAAGAATGAGTTCCGCACCAAGATACCCATTTGTGTCAAATCTGTTTAACCGGCGATGTTCGGTAAAAGTCCAAGGTCTATCGCTTCGAATGGAGCACTCAGGGTGATGGCCAGCTCACTTTCTGGATGGACGGCCAACTTTTGTACAGGCTGGTGCCACTTTCTAAAAGTGTTCGGCATCGACATCGAACGACACGCGGTGTTTTGTTTTGATTCAAATCGCTGGCCCCCAGATACACCCACGTTCTTGCTCTTTTTCCCGAACATGCGAACAACAAGACCTGGCCATTATGGTCCTTTCTTCATTTTCCGCTCCAAAGTGTCTCGTGTTCGCCAGGCTTGACGGGAAGGTTTTGGCACAGAACATGGAGCTGCTCTCAGACGAACGAAAACCCAACTCACCAAGACACCCCGTGGATCCACCGATGTCTTTTGGAAAGCGAACGAACGGGGTGGCGTTCGGTGGGCCGCAGTTGTGTTTCGTTTGGAATTTTTGGCCTTTCTGGTTTCATGGTTTGATCCTGCAGCTTTTCTCAAGCTCCAGCGCCTGCGCTCAGACAGAGGCTTTGAGACACTCATGTCGGACCCAAGTGAGATCAAGTTGTCCCGCCAAGACAAGCCAGAGAGAAAGTTCTTCGAAAATCCACTGACCTGGTAGCTTGTCGAGTCAAATTTTGCCTTGTCAGGGTTGGCATGTCTGTTGACGGGTTCCGCGAAACGTGGTTGGCATGTTCTCTCAGGTGGAAGGGCACTTCACTTCGATGGAACACAGATGTGACCATCTGGAACGGAACGGGAGAGGCTGAAGCCCTGTGTGAGCTTTTTGTGGACAACTTGGGATCTCTACTTGGAACGACTGGCGCATGTGTGGGAACAATTGGCTATGGCATTGTGGGAAACCTACCTCCCTTCGCCGGCGGCTACGGAACAGCCATTGCCGAAGAATGGGAAAAGGTTTACTTCTCGCGCAACATCCCAGGATGTGCATTTGCGATGCTCCTTGGAAACCTTTTCTATGCTTGGCAGTGTGGACGTTTGGGAAGCAAGGAAGGCCGGAATGACGTCACTGCACAGCCCTATGGCATCAATACCACCGGCGTGTACATCACTTTGTTCGCAATCCAGCTGGAGGCTGTGGAAAGATGCAGCCAGGAAATTGAAAGCTGTTTGCTGACTGTTTGTTTTGATATACGACATAGGATTTGAATAGACCAATGCTTTCACGAGAAAAATCTAGTCAGAGAAGTCCAGCTCTGGAAGTCTACACAATGTTCTTCCAGGCTTTGATTTCTGCTGGCTTTATGTTCCAACCAGCTGCCGAAGCAGATAGCGATGCGATCCGCGCGGCAGCTGTGAGTGCTGCTGACCATGCTTGGAAAATCTCGGTGGCCTGCAACTTCGTGTTGGGTCTTTTCGAGCAACTTGGTGCAAGATAGTGCAAGTTTAGAGGAGAAAAGTGTGGTTTCTTTCGGGCTTTGCTCCCCAAAAAAGTAATCAAGAGCCATAAAGAGCTCATAGAGCAGAGCGAGAATGAGATGAGTCAGATGAGAAAAAGGAAGAAAAATAGAAGAGCTTTGGTTGGCTTATGAAGCGTCACATCAGGATGCTCGGGGCCTTTATTGGAGAGAGTATTCGAAAAGTGGCACCCATGGCGGCTTTCTATGCCCCCATGATGGGTGTTGGCTTTGTTTACTTGGCATTTGTGCCAATGTTGGCAATCTCTCAAGAACCAATGATGTGCCTGATCCCATTGCTGATTGTGTTCAATGGCTTCTTTGGTGGAGTCCGATATCACATCTACAAGAGCCTCAGCTTATCTTTGCTTCAGCTCTTGAAAGAGCAGCTTCTTGTATCACAATGTTTTATTGGGTGTTTCTTTATCTTGTCCAGTTTTGCAAATGAAACTCCAGGAAGCTCACCATCCCCATTGGGCTCATGGCAATTTTGGCAGCGGTCATTGCCGGCTGGTCTGGAGCATGTGCGCGAGAATCTGGAACAATCGGCGGGGGGGAACTGCGCGGCGCATGCGTATTGCATCGCATTTGTACCAGTTGTCACAACAACTAAAGTGATTAAAACTGCGAATCAACGTGCATCGAAATCGTTCGAACATCGTTTTGTCTTGCGATTGCACAGGTGCCATGAAGTATGGCTACACCTTGCCATATTTCGATTCAACCAAGGTCGGGCCGAGGGGTGTGTGCCAGATTGAAGGGACAATTCATCGACTGCTTACCTTGAATTTGTCGTGCATTGGTCCATTGGTGTACAACTTTGAAGCTGAAACTTGCTAGGTCACTTGCACAGGCACTTCTCAGTCAGAGGCTCAGCGTGCCTGGGATACCTACGCCTTTCAGCCGAATGTTCTTGCAAACTCTGTCTTTGTCGGACTAGGCAGGGCAAGAATGGGTGTGCCATGCTCATACAGTACCACCGGCCAGGGGAGAGTAATGTGCCCTGACAACTGTTTCCTTTGACAGGCGGTTTTGCAGATATCGGAAGCTTCATGACCACCCTCTTCCTGGTTGGTGTGGTAGGCTTCGTCGGCACCATGAGCTGTGTGGAGAGTGCGTCTGCAGCAGGCGGGGTTCCTTGCAAGCGACGCACATGGCAAGCCGCATTTTGATGCTCCAATTCTGCCGAGTCCTGTGGTGGTTTCAAGTTTCAAGTGTTTTTAAGGCGACTGACTGGGAATTCTAGCGATATCTCCTGAAGATTTGGGGGAACAGTCAGGCGATGATTACCCTATGGCCGAGACAATGCTTGTGGATGGCGCTGGCACTTGCATCGGTGCATTGTTTGGATCTTTCTACTCAACCACTGTCTACATTGGACATCCCATTCACAAGGCTTTGGGGGCCAAGCGTGGCTTCAGCCTCATCAACGGCATTATCTACTTCTTCCTGCATCCTGTCCTATTCCTGATTCAATGCAACAAATCTTGAAATGGATTGCTTTTGCATTGCTGTTCATGAAATGATCATGACATCCTGAGGCTCTTGTCTGGATTGTTTGCTGCCTTGTACCAGTCCATTCCGGAGTGTGCCAGCGGCTCCATCCTAGTCTTTGTTGGACTGCTGTTGGGCCGTCAAGCATTTGAAGAGACGCCGCCACGACATTATCCAGCCTTGTTGCTGAGCCTTTTCCCATACATCTGCAATTGGGCCAAGCTCAGCATGAGCAATGAAGGTGTTTTGATGATGGGTCAAGCCGGAGGCCTTATGTGCCCTGACGTGATAGCTCATTTAGCATAGCTGGTTGATGTTTGTGAAAGATTGCCAAAGAAGCTTTGACAAATCCAATGCAAATGTGTTCTTTGAGGTTCAGCGTTGTTCTCACGTGGCTTTTCTGCTTGTGCATCGACCGCGACTTTTGGAAGGTCCGCTGCAAACAGATGGAGATAGGAAATCATGAAGCTAGCTGACCCACTTGACATCTGATCGCCCTTGATCCTTCATGTCATTTCCATTCGTGCGCCTTTGAAGGCTACCTTGCTTTCCTTCGTGGCGATTTTCCTCTCGCTATTTGGCTTCTTCGCTTCCCACAATGCTGTCGCTCGTCACGGCTGAGCGTAAGCTGAGAGATTTTAGAGATGTTGAGAGCACAAATGCAATTTTTGGAATTGGGATCTTTCCTGTGTTGATGTGGATTTAGGCCAATGATGAAGTGCCACCTACAGAAGGTGACGAGAAGATTGGCTTCTACGGCATGGAGGAGCGAAACATCAATGTTCAGACAACACCAGAGCACATCCAGTCCATGAGCATATCCACACCAAGAAAAAGCTGCAGGACCATGAATACAACAACGGATGGCGTTGGTCCATCTCATGGTCTTTGGCCACCGTGTTCTTTGCGCTACACGTTCTTTTCCAAAAAATGGGATGGGTGGCTGGGCCTGTTGACACCACGACTGGAGCAAGCACGCAGGAGACGAACGAGGACTGAACCAGACAGAATTTGATAAAGACAATTATCGATCGGAAGATGCTGAGACTGAAAACAATCATGATCGGTGAAACGAACCAGCATTGCAGGCATCCATCTGAGAAGAATTTGCCTCCTAGGCAAGGAAAGCCAGGTGTCCTTGCAGAATCTGCAAAGAACGATTTGTGCTGGCACTTGCTTTTTGGGCAGCCCAGATTGATCTGGACTTCCCTTGTACTTTGGGTGCCTTAGCGCACCTTTTTTAATTTTTCCACTCTGTGGCCTTAAGTTCTGTGAGACTGTTCGAGTTGAAGCTCTCTTCCTAATGGAGCATGCAAAGGCCCATTGCTGTGCAGGCCAGGTTTTGACCTGGAATGTCAGCGACGGAATTTTGCGGCTAAGCCTTATGGCTAAGCAGTGGAGCTGCTGCTCAAAAACTTCAATGCTTCAATCAATGCTCGAAGCTAGCATCTGCGGAGGTTGGCAGCACCAAGAGAGAAATGCGTGTGTCGCTACGTCGGTGGGGGTCCTCCCTGTAAAGTAAGTGGTTGGCCACCAAAGCCTACACAGTAGACCGGCATCCAAAGCAATCTGAGGCCATCACCAAGGATGGCGAGCCCATGGGAACCTTGCTGGCACGGCAGTTGCTCCTTGAGTTCCTTAGTGGCACCGATCATGTTGCTTCGGAGGTGCCAATGGCAACGCCAAGTGAAGAGACATCCTGAAAACCCCGCTGTCTTTGAATAAAGCAAGCCATGTGCGCGATTTTGGCTGATGCACGGGTCGCGCTGGTGGCTCATTTTGGAGCGGCCGGTCTTCTTCCAAACCTCTTCCAAGGCCTGTATCGATGATCCTGAACATTGATGTGTCCAAGCAATGGGGTTGGGCTTGGGCCTCAGCGAACGAAAGCCGCAGCGTCTTCATCAGCCACCTTGGGTGCACCAAGAGTGAACAAATAAAAGACCGATTTGTTATGCATTGTGAAGAGTTTGGCAAATCGAGTCACACAATATTCAGATGGACCCATGTCGCACCCTGTAGAAACCTATCTTGACCTTTCACGAGTTCCATGTTTTCAATGTTCTTGTATTTTTACCATGTTCTATGTGACTCGCATTGGTAAACATGGTCACCTATCCAGGACAGAGTTGGCATTGATGTGTGTCAAGATACATCCAGCCCTACACAGACAAGGGCGCAGAATTCGACTTTTGCACAGTGGAAGGTCGCAGATGTTACTTTCGAAGTTGGCCAAGACTGATTGTGGCATAGGCTGATTTTTTTAGTAGCCACACAACTTCCTGCCACAACATGTTCTCAAGGCCTGTTGAGGGGCCACCAGACAGGTGAGCGGTGAGCATGCTTTGACTTTCTCCAGTAGAACGTTTGAGCACGTTGGATTTGGTGAAAACATGCGGGCCGAGCGAGGATATTATCGAGCAGAATTGTGGAGGGGACTGTGGTTGCTGCCTTGACTGTGGTGAGCCTGAATGTGTGTCTTGTATGTTGGAGATCCTTGGCACGCATTTGTTTGACATAGGCACCCGAGACAGTTCCTCCTGAACGCATCGCAAGTGCAAAGACATCCACAAGAGCTATTCATGTTGGCACGTGGCATTGATGTTGAACAACTGAAAACACATATCCTGATCCTTTTTCATCCTTTTCTTCCCAGGAAAGGCGGCGGCAATGAATATTTGCACAAGCTGTGTAGGTCGGGGGTGGTTCCGTCCTCTGGTGGCTCCGCCGGGCTCGTTGTTACTAGCGATGGCCTTGCTACTAGTAGCTTCTTGCTCCTAGTAGCGATGCCCTTTGTTACTAGTGGCTTCTAGTTAGCCTCAAATTGGGTCAATCGGGTGTCGTTCAAAGCACAGTGCTGCGCTTTTCATATGATGAGGACGTGTTTTCGCCAGGACTTTGCCAGCCACCTACGAGGTGGATTACATCCGAGTTTTCCAGACGAAGGACACTTCAAGAGCTACTTAAGCTACTGTACTAGCTACTTGAGCTGGCTACAGCTACTAGACACGGACGCAGGATAGCTCGGAGAGCTCACGCTTGCACTAATGATTTGTTTCCTAGATGGCTGGTAGATCATGGTTCGAAAGTGGAGAATGGCGACATGGTGTTCTGTGTCCTTCCCCATAGGATCAACAAGCTGAAGATCGCCAAGGGTGCTCACCTAAGGCCAGTGGAAACAGACCGAGAGAAGCCTGTTTGAAAGAGGATGTGATTCCTTTAAGAAGTATGTCTCTTGAGAGGGTTCATGATGTGATTCAGCAAGATCTGGGGGTTCATGTCGTCAACGAGACACCACCGTGATGCTTCATCTTGTTTTCGTCGTCGTACGGGGCGGACTCACCAGGTGGCACCAACACAAGGGTGGATCGACACTCAGCGTTCTCGATATGTGCTACCCAACTTCGATGCACCGCTGCAGCCCTTCGCCTGACAAACTTCAGACCGCTTTGGAGTTCTGGAGGGGTCCGGACTGCTTCAGATGAAGAAGATACCGGCTTGTATGCTTGTCCATGTTTGTTGGCCCCCGTTGAAGCCGCGCAGCGTCCCGTGTTGGGCTCTGAGGCCGGTGTATGCCGGTGGAGGACGGTGTCAAACAGATGCCAACTGCGGCTCCAACTCAGGCAGTGCGGTCAACTCCAGCGGCCACAGGAACCGAAGACTAGAGAAGTTGCCAAAAGCCTCTAGGTCTTGGAGATTTTCTCCGACTGACTAGACTGACTAGACGAACCAGATCGTGGCCACTTTTCTTCGGTTTTTCCTCTCTTAAAAGCCTTTCTTACCATAACCGGTCCTTGCAACTGGTCCTCCCGCACCTCCTGATGTCACACCTGATCCCCTCACCTCCTTCCCCTCAGGGAGCGGCGCTTGTTCGGACGGCGTGTGCAAATGTACCAACGGCTGGACGGGTCCCAGCTGCCTCGCTCGCATGGCCGGGGCGGCCCTCCGCTGCCGACCGCTGGAGAACCGGTCGGTCGTGCTTTTTTGTCAAAAACAGAACTGGTGCCTTATGAGGTCATAAGAACTGCCTGATAAGAAAGAAACCGCCTCATAAGAACTGGAGAGACGCAATGGACGTGCTTTGCCTTATGAGTACTTATGAGGCTAAGCGGCTTGCTGCTTACTCAATGTCCATTTTTTTTTGATGGTCAGATTTGGACAGGAGCTGACACTTGTGGGAGGTGGTCCGTGCTTCGTGAATTCCACGCATGACAATTGCGGGCGAGGCAGGGTGCAGATCCGTGCAGATCGCTCTTCGCAGGGCTATGGAGGGTTTGCCTCAACAAAAATGATCAAAAATGTGTTTGGGATTCTGTTAGGTCCAAAAATGAAACCACTTGTGGATTTCTCACACCCACAAGTGCACCATGTTTGGCCATTTTGGGCGTTTCATTGTGTTGATGAATTTTGTGAGGCACGTGCATTGAGATCAATCGCCCATGGGATGCGCCATGGCATCTTGGTCCAACTCGTTGCGCTTATTTTTCTTTCAAGATGGGCGATTGTGCTGAGGCAGACCGTTGAAGGTTTACATCGCTTCAGCCCCGTGGGAACTGGAGACGGTCGCTGCCAGTGCCATGATGGCTGGAAGGGTCCCTTTTGCAGTGTGGAAAGCGGAGGTGCCAGCGTCATGTGGAGAGTTGAGAGTCCCCCATGGAGATTTGTGAACACGCTTGGTATGATTCCAGAATGGAAGGGATGAAAAAAGAAATTCAATCCGTGAATCCATGGACTCAGACTGAGGGGGTGATGCAAAGCACGACCGTCAACAGAGTCATTCGGATTCGCGGAATCCGCACTGTGCAGGTCAGAGCAAGACCGAGGCAAAGAAGACCGATCAGTGGGATGAGAAGACGAGCCTTGGCGGAAGAGTTGAAAATCACGATGTCAAACAGTCAAATGTGTGTGTTTGTTTTCCTAGGTCCCTAGGTCGCTAGATCGCTAGGTGAGGTACCGGATAACTTCGCATCGAAACGTGGGTCCCACCGGACGACCTTCTCGGGCTGCGCGACCGAGGTGTGTGCCAGATTCGAGCCTCAGTTCGCCTAAGCTTGAGGCTTTGATTACCAAGCTTTGCCGCAACTGGCTCATGGGCAAGGAGACCATCGAGAGAGACGCTTGGAGAGATGACGCGAGACAGTCAGAACCAAAGCACAAAGAGTGTCGAGAAACGTCGCCATGTTTGGTTTCAGAAACGACGAAACGACGACATTTTCACATCGCATTTCAAAACGAAGGCCTTGGTCAGTCTTTTTGTCCAGCAGATCTCAGGTTTCACAGGCGTGCTCTGACATCGATCCTTGGAAAGAAGACGGTCGACCGCAGTGAAGCCAGTTGCGGAGAACAGGTGTTTCCTTTTCGTCCAAAGGAGTGGTAGCTGATAGGAGTCGGACATTTGGGGCATGAACGTTTAACCTTACATAGCAGTCGCAATTCTCGAAGATTGGAGAACAGGGTTTGGGACGAACCCAGAAGGTTGGAAATTGGTCGAGTCGATCAGTCGATCTGTGAAATCGTCCAAGGACTGGAGCTCTGATGGTAAATATTCTCAATGTGGCTCATGGCCCCGTGCCTCTTTGGTGGTTCAGGCCAGTGACACATTTAAAAGCTTGTTCTTCGCGTTTCAGCATTGCTCAGTTCTGATTCTGCGTCTGCTTGCTTCAGCCTGTTGCTTGAACTGAGCAGTTGAGCTGAATGTGTGAAACTCCACTGCCTTTGCCACAATTGTTTCGCACAAACTCTTTGAAAATACATCAAAAATGTGCGTTCTGCCTCCTTTTTCTTTCCTTGGAGTGTCCTTTTTTACATTTTGGGAGGCTGCCAAGGAAGAGAAGGGGATTTGCTGCACGCAACGCAACTGCAGACGGTTCGTGGGTTTTGACCGCGCGGTCTCAGTTTTCTCAGACGCGGGTGGGGCAGAAAACCGTTGATCTGTCAGGCTGTAGGCTTTTGCATCCAGGATTTCACAGGTCGGGGACACTCGACAGGTACAGGAGACAGGAGACAGGTAGGATGATACATTCTTCAGTCGTTCTTCGTCTTGTTTGCATGTTCCACCGTTACGAGTTGTGAAACGGTGGGCGTGTTCTCATTGAAATGTCCGCAGATGTGAGATGTCATGTTTGCGACGACCTAGTGATGTTCGATAAGGTGTCACAGCCTTGTAAATGATTGTAAACGAAAATGCCCAAGTAGGTTGGAGGCCATTGCTACTGGGTTGGAGGCCATTGCTTGTAAGAGGGTTTGCCTGGCCTGTGAAGCCTTGGTGCAACACGATCCTCCGGTTTTGGCGATTGAGGCGCTTGGACGAACAGGGCCGAGAGATTTGCTTTGAAGATGAAGCGCAGTTTCTCGGCCGAATCCACTGATGGTTCAAGAGAGAGGATGCAAAGGGACATCATTGGGAGGTTTTTGGGCCAGCTCATTGAACTCTCACGATGATATGGCATGGCAAAATTCAGACGCCATGCAGACCATGTTCCTTGATGTTGCCGACTGTGCTGTCCTAGTCATCAGGTTTGACATCCTCCTTGGAGTTGCAGCCCGGCTTGAACATGGCAGCAATGTTGCCCTTGATTCTTCTTTAAAAATATGCTCGCAATCTTCCACAAAACTGGCACACCTTGCGGAATGTATAGGGTGTTCCGAAGACGCTTTTCTGTTACGAGCAGCTGAGGCCACCGCATCCCTGGCATTAATGGCCGTTCTCGGATGCTTGCGCCAAGCACACCTGAGAGGCGAGTCGCGGCGCAGTCTTCCGCTTTCGAAAAGGTCTTGCAGTTTGTGGGGAGGACAAGGGGCAGTGAAATTGATAGTCGGTGGCTGTCGTCCTCGTAGTGATAGGGACAGCTATGGCAGCGGCAGCAGCAACAGCAGGAAGAGTAGTGGCAGTAGTAGCGGTAGGAGGGGTAGGTTCAACCTCCTTCTTTTTCAGCCACTTTGGATTGCACAGGAACTTGATGTGTGTATGCCCTTGTGCTTGACGCCAGGTGGACTGCTTTCGCGAAGGTCAGAGCGAGCGGCAGCAAATGGGCGTGGAGCTTAGCGCGCTGCAAAGGAAACACTCCAGGCATAGAGATCACAAGGTGATTGCTTGCAGATCTTTTTAGTCAGTTGAGCCATAACGGTGTATCGATGGGATTGAAGGTGCAGCCTCGTTGTTCGGCAGGGTCGGGAGCAGTTCTGTTTAGGGCAAGCCCTGCACCAAGAAGGTTCAAAACAAAAATTACGGTTTCCTGATGCAGTTCACACTCACCAAACCACAGCTTTCAGGTTTGACTTTAAAAGAGATGACAGCACAGACGACACGGACACAGATGACGAGGCTGGGCCGTTTGAGAAAGCTTGGGGATGCTTGATGTGAGAGTCTACTGAAGCTGAGTAGACTCTCACTCTACCATAACATACCTGCGCCGCTTTTGGCCGACTTCAAAGAATTCTCCGGCGCTTTCCATCGAAAGCACGGCCGATCCTCATCAGGTCAATGGATTCTCTGGGAGTGACAGCGAGGAGTCCAAGTAGCGCCCGAAAACACCGAAGAAGCTGGAGATGAGAAGCTTCGCACGAAGTCTCACCCTTATAAATGGAGGTGAGAGGAACCTCAGTAAGGTGCAAAGCGGAAAAAGCGATTAGAAACAAGAAGCTACTAGGAACAAGTGCATCGCTACTAGGAGCAAGTGCCTTACTAGTAGCAACAAGAAGCTATTAGAACCCAGAAAGACAAGGATTGGACTCCGCCTCCATCTAGTGGGATTTGAGCACGGGCCCCGTGCCCAAGTCGGCCGCTCGAAAGCTCGGATCCCGATCCCACATGTTTTTCCATTCGGCCAAAAAAAGAAAAAGGGTGCACAGAAAGGGCAGGTATAGAGGCAGGGGATGCACAACCATGAGACAGATGAAGATGCTGACCAAATCGTAGATGGATCGACTGTTTTTGATCATTTCTGGTCTGGCAATCAAGAGCGAAAAAGAATTGAACCGCGATGAAAATTGTGCAAGCTGATTGGGTTTGGGAATGGAGTTGCACTTTGCAGAGATGTGTCTAGATTTTTTAATCCGGCACCGTGTCCTGATACCTGCATAGCTCTACTGTGACACATACCAGTCAAGAGGTGTTGCAAGTGTAAGGGATGCTGTGTGGATTGGCACACATTATTTGCATTTCTTTGTTTTATGCGGGCTACAATAACAATAATAACGCCAACCAGAGCCACCACCACAACAACAACCACCACCCCCCCGTTGTGGGCCCCTGACCTGGCTTAAGGGCTGTTGACACCGAAGTTCACGCGGCCGTTGCCAAAAGAGCTGTTTTAGAGCGAGGCTCCGAAAGAGCGATGTGACTGTGCAAAGCGTCATGTATAGAGGGCAACACAACGTTCCGAATCCCTGCGAATGAAATTGCCTGGGTCGGTATGGGGTCCGTGCCGTCAACATACCAAAAGTATACAAAAGTACCGTCAACGTGCCAAGACGATTTTCGGCGTCTCAAAGCACAGTTGCCACGCACGGAAGCAGGGTTCCGGCAGGGGCATAGGCATCAAGAAAAAATTATCGAATCAATAAAAATCTATAACGAATCAAAAAAAACTGTATGTACTGAATCAAAAATATTCGCTGCGCGACGAAACCTAGTAAAATCGCTATTTTTCTGAATTCTACATTAAACTCTCGTTTGACAAGGGAGGCGCTGCACTATGCTTTGGGTTCATTGCGGGGGGCGCTGCGCCCTCCCCCTCACTCACCCCCTCCCGCTCTTTTTTGTTTCAGCCCCCCCTCCCGCTCTGTTTGCGCATTATATAACTGTGTTTCGTTTCTCTTTGTCTTTCTGTTTTTCTGGGAGGGGCCCTAACTTTGAGAATGGGGCTCAGCTCTGTCTAGGGCAAACCGGTCCATACCAAAACACACTTCACCCAGGAGCACCAGCAGCAAGACAATGGAAGACATGTCTATAAAAGAAAGAGTTCAATATAAAAGTTGTCAAGAAACAATTTTGCTAGAAAACCCCTTGAGATTTCAATTTGAATAGAATGATAAACATGAAAATCTTTCGATAGAAGAGGCATCACGATAGAAATGTCATCCATTGCTTTGCTGCTGGTGCTCCTGGGTCAAGTGCTCTTTTGGTATGGACCGGTTTGCCCTAGACAGAGCTGAGCCCCATTCTCAAAGCTAGGGCCCCTCCCAGAAAAACAGAAAGACAAACAGAAACGAAAAACAGCTTTATAATGCGCAAACAGAGCGGGAGGGGGGGCTGAAACAAAAAAGAGCGGGAGGGGGTGAGTGAGGGGGAGGGCGCAGCGCCCCCCGCAATGAACCCAAAGCATAGTGCAGCGCCTCCCTCATCAAAGGAGGGAGGGAGGGAGAGAGAGAGAGAGAGTACAATTCATAATAAAAGGACCGGATAACCCCACATGTTAAGCTTGTAAGAACTATCAACGAGAAGTAGAGACTGCAGAAAAGAGTGGTGTATGATGAGTGGTGTGTGATGAGTGGTGTAAGATGGGTGCTGTGAGTTGAGTGGTGTGAGATAGGCGGTGCAAGATAGGTGGTGTGAGTTGAGTGGCGTAAGTGGTGTAAGATGAGTTGTTGAGTGGTGTAAGTGGGGTAGGATGAGTGGTGTCAGATGAGTGGCGGCGGCGGGAGGCGGAGCGGCGGTTGCAGAGCGAAAAACTAGAACCCCACATAGTGATGTGGGGAAAAATAGCCATTTTACTAGAAAACCCGTTGAGGTTTCAAAATAGATTACAATAGTAGATAAGTCATAAAGCAGGAAGAGATTCTATACTTTGTTCATTGCGGGGAAGGCGCTGCGCCCTCCCCGCACCTCCTCCCGCTCTGTTTAATTTCAGCGGACATGTCTATCCTGATGCCTCTTTTGTTGAAATCTCTACCAGCAGCAAAACAATGAAAGACATGTCTATCGTGATGCCTCCTCTTTCAAAATCTCTACTCCTTATGACCTAACCTAAATATCTATATTGAAATCACAACGGGTTTTCTAGTAAAATCGTTTTTTTGAATTTGATATTGAACTCTTTCTTTCACGGGGAAGGTGCCGACGTGACAAAAATATTCGTCGACGTAGCAAAATTTCATGCCAAAAACGTGGGAATTTGGTAAAGCGCCGAAACGAGCGATCGTCGTAGTGAAAGTGAAAGCGTTCTATCTTTCTCCTTTTTTCCTTTCCCTCTTTTTTCCTCGTGTCTTACCTGCGTGAAAAATTCTCTGACTCTGTCTTAACTCTGTGCGCGGGTTGCGCGACCACTGGTCGACGTGACAAAATATTTGTCGACGTAGCAAAATTGAATACTGCGACAAAAACGCTAGATTCAAGCCCCGATCCTTTTCCTGTTCCGGTTTTTCTATCCTTTTCCTTTTTTCCTTTCCCGCATTTTTCCTTTTCTTTTCTGCGTGGGAAATGTTCAACTCTGTCTCAACTCTGTCGTAACTCCTGTCTTAACTCCGCGCGCGTGTTGCACGCACACTGTGATCTCCCAAGCTAAAGCCCGAAACAGAACAGTTGAACATTTTGGGGCTCTGTTTTAACTCTTCTTTGCGTGCGGGCTGCGTGAATACTGGTCGACGTGACGAAGATTCGTCGACGTAGCCAAATTTAATACTGCGACAAAGGCGTACGGTTCAAGTCCCGGCCCTTTTCCTTTTCCGGGTTTCTATCCTTTTCTTTTTTCCTTTCCATCTTAACTGTGTGGAAGATGCTCTAACTCTATCTTAACTCTGCGCGCGGGTTGCGTGAATACTGGTCGACGTGACAAAAATATTCGTCGACGTAGCACAACTTAATACTGCGACAAAATTGTACTATGTCGAATTTTTACTTTTGCATGTTTAAAGACGTCGGGCTCAAAGTAAGTCTATACGACGCGACGGGCCCCAGAACGTAATACACGTTCGAACGGTTGCTGGGTTTCGCGTCCTCTCGCGCAATAGTTTTGTTGGCGGGGGAGAACTTTACGTGAGGAGGAATAGGATTCCCAGGGCAAAAAGCCCCTCGTGGCACCGAAGGCTGCGATCGAAACGGCAAGTGGCCAGGAGTGCGCTGAGAAAAGTAAAGAAGGCTACCCACTGCCTAAAGCCACAGCAGAAGAGTGGCTCAACAGTTTTTGCACGGTCAACAGATGGGATGGCCAGAAGGCAAAGGCAAGAGCAGGTATTCATGGTGGAATACAATGGAATACATGGAGTGGAGCTCCGAAGGGTGCCACCAAAGAAAAGGAGAAGAAGAGAGAGAAGGGCAAGGACAAAAGAGCTCAAGACAGGGCGGAGAAGGAAGGCTTCGCAGCAGGGCTCTTCGTCTTCGTCTTCAGCGGCTGCCAAATCGTCTTGGAAGAGGCTGTGAAGCAAGAGGTACTCAAGTGCCTGCAGCAGAGTAGAATAGAACCGAGTTCTTCCTTGAAGGAGATCTGGCAGACAGGCCCACTCAGAGAGATCAAGGAGGAGTAGAAACTGCTCAACAGCCGCAAGAAGATTACAGTCAAGTTAGAGAAGCTCCGCAAAAGACTCAAAGACAAGCAGGAGGCCTGGCAGAACTTCGAAAGCAATATGAAGACACATCTGCAGGCGCAGTTGACGAAGCGCCAGGAGGATGTGTCACAACTAGAGGAGGAAATCCATGAGAGGGGAGCGGTGGAACTTTGACGCTGCTTTCATTTTCCAAGGTGCTGGCCACGTTCTTTTTCAGAATGCATGGATTGTCGTGTTCCCGGGCATGTGGTTGCCCCTCAGCATGATGGCGGACTATGAGGAAAAGGTACACCCGGAACTGGGGCAGGACTGTGTCTTGGACGACAGGAAGTGGAATTTGGTTGGTGTTGACAATCGGCTTTTTGACCCAATTTTTGGATCCGATTGAGTGTCATTATGGCCTCTGGAACAAGATTTGGATGGGTCTATGTCATTTGGCTTTTTGTCTTTTGGTGGAGGTCATGATTTTGATCGAAAGAGAGCGCGACAACAACAAGAAGAAGACTCACCCACAAAGAGAGAAGAGCCAGCCAGAAACGTGGACTACAAGGCAAAGGCCTTTGTCTGCTGATGAATCTACTGGGCGGCAATGTAGTCCTGGCAGCAACAGAGGCAGAACCTCGTGTGACGCTACCAGACCGTGCACGGGAGATGGAGGACGATTATTTCTCTCAGCCTTGTGGAAATGATCGTCGGGCATCCAGACTTTTTCAGTCTACAGAAGGCGAGGAACCAGTGCTGTGGGAGAAGGGAAGAGACAATACCAATCCTCATGCTCACACACCAAGGTTCAGAAGTTTTGAATTTGAGACCCCTCTTAAGTTTGCAAGTGCAAGGAATGATGGAGGTCCTTTGGACGTCAGTTACCGAGGTAGCCTCTGTCGAGCCAATGAGAATACAGCCTCAATCTGGAGGACCGCAGTGGCCGGCTGGATGAGACAGAACTTTTTTGCGAAGTGTCTCTTCAGCAAATCCATTGCGGAGCGCCGAGCCTACCAGGCTGCTCATCACGGGCCTTGCTAAGCAAGAAGTCCAAC